GCCTCACAAGTTGGGGCTGCCTTTCGGCCACCCCTTCCCCCCCATTCAAACCCGTTGGATTCAGGGCGACCCCCGGGGCCCCCGTTTCAAAAGCCAAGACATCATATCACCCTCCTTGGGTACCCAACCCTCATTTTTGGAAAAGGGCCCAAGGGCCTTTCCCTTTCAATGGTTTCCCAGCCCTTGGTTCCTTGGATGCCGGGAGAGCCCCCGCCTAGAAATTCCCAAAACCCTGGGCAGGGGCCCGGGGATACAGCCTTTTTGATTGCTGTGGGCTTGGCCTTTTCCCGCGCCGTTTCCCCCCCCCCGGAATTCCAGGGCCCCTTTGGTATGCAGCACCCACAGGTGCCCTAAGTTTGGAAGAAAAAAAGTCCAGGGCCTGAGGTTAACCCCCCCTTCCGCTGGGACCCCACGGGAATTGTAAAGCACCCCCCGGGGAGCCTCCGGGCCCAAAAAAAGGGGACCGGGGGGTTTCCTACCCTTGGTGGGAAATTTCCTTTTAAAATCCCCGGGGGTAATGCCCCTGGCCGGGGCGACACTCAAGGGGCCCCCGTGGGACCCCGAGAGGATGAGGAGCAACGGTTTAGGCCTGTCAACCTTTGGGAACCTTTTTTCTCCCTTGCCGTCCCCCTCCCGGCCCCCCCGCTGGTTGCAGGGCTCTGGGCCCCCCCAATTTTTATGAACCAGGGACTGGGGTTAGTGCACACTTAGGGTTCCACTGCCATAGCCGGAGGACCTTCCCCTTTCAAGCCCCCCGGTGCATACGTTTTCCCCCACTTTTCCCCCGGGGAAACCCCAAAGCCCACCAAAAGGGGGAGGAGAGGCGGAACATCGGACCTAGTTAAGACCAAATTACCCTCCCCGAAATTCTGGAGGCTTTTGGAGGGCCAGGCACCCCACTAACCCCCGAGCCAAATTTTGGGAAACGCAAGAACCAGAGGGCCCCCCTCCCCGAAAGGACGCCACCCAAAAAAAAGGGAAAATTTGAGATAAATGAACTTTCCTCCCCGGGGATCAATCCCGGGGTCCCAAAAATTGGGAAGAACCCAGGCCGGGACCCATACTGGCAAATCACGTAGAAGAAGAAAAGGTTCGATTCACGGTGAGGTAGAAACTTTGGATTGTTTCCTTCACCGGTTGTCTATGTTCCCCATCATAAAAGGGGTACCGGGGAGTTAGTCAATGGCGTGGTCGCACCCTGGGACAAAAATTGACCAATTTGCCTGAAATCCCGCAAACAAGGGTTTTCTACATATTAGTACAATGGAACCCAAATTTCAACATATTGTTTACAAACTCTTCAAAAATGGGCCATTTTTTTTGAACCAAATTTTTGCCCCCTATTATCGAACTCCCCCCTATTTCGAACCGCCGGGTCCCAACCCTGTCCCCAGCCCACCTGCCCGCATCCCGCATTTTTTGAAATGTATTTTTTTTTGTGAATATTTTTTTTTTTTGGAATGGATTAAATTGTATTTCCATTATTTTTAGGGGAAACATTGCTTACTTTTAAAAACTTTTCAAATTTAGAACACCCGGGATGGTTAAGTTAAAAATTTGGGTTCCCTGCATGTTTTTGATGTCACTAGACTTAAACCATTAATTTTTTGTAAAAATAAAGATTTTTATTATTTTTATTATTATTTAAAAAACCTGCTTGCATGTAAAGGATTTTGGGCAAATTAGGTCAATTTTTTTCCCGGGTGCTACTCACACCATCGACTAATTGGCATGCAAAAGAGTATGAACCTTTATTCGGCGCATGACACACCCCTTTGAAAGGCTACCCCCCCCCAACCACAAACCCAGCTTAAAGGATCGGATAGGGGGCCCCCCGTTTTCGATCATACCCGGGTTCAAGCCAATGAGAAATGGTTTTAGCAATCACAGAGGTGTTTAGGTACCAACCCCGCCTGTCTGCATTTATCATTTCCCATTTAGAGCTGGTTAAAGCACGATCTTTCTCTAGTGGCTTCATTCTCTTGCTTACCGGGGGAGTGCACTAAAACTATTTTTGTACATATGTATATAGTGTACATACTTCTTTTCTTACTTGGTGAAAAAATATAATCAAATTTTTTACTGTTTTTTTTTGCTCCCTTTACACCAGGTAACGACCTTTGGTTTCCTGTTTTGTAAAAACTAACACTCCTCCCCATTTTATCTGTGGGTAAAATAAAAAGGGTAAGGAAACACGCCCAATTTTTAAACCCTTGGGGGAATCAAACCCCGTCCCCCTGAACGTGTGAAGGGGAAAAGGCGTTGCCAACCAGGCCAGGGCCACCTTCATCTAAATTTACTCGGTCTTACCAGGAGGGCTATTCCCCCAAAGATAACCCAAGGAAGTCCGGGTGAGGCTTGGGAAATCTTTCCCAGGATGCGACGACAACAGTCGGCTCCACAACTTGTTCACTATGAAAACTGGGGGGACCAGTCCCTGGACCCTTTTTTTATGTACCTCGTAATTTTTTGATTACCGCCCCGGGTTTGGATGGGGTGCATAATAAAGATAAAGAAAGCTCCACCCAGGTACCTATTTCGTTTTATGAACGGGGGTCATGGGGTGAAAAAAAACAAGGGACCCCGTGGCCGGCGGGGGGAATCCAGGTTCGTTCCCCGGAGCGTTGGGAAAACACGGGACGGTTTCCTTACTCATTCACCAGAAAGTAGGTATTGGTGTTTTTAGTCGATGGTGTGGGTCGCTCCGGGGGCAAGTTGAGGACCCCAGTGGAAAAAAGACAGATATCACTAGACAAGGACCCTTTGGGTTATCATGGGTGGCTAACCCTTCGAACAAAATCTCATTTATCCCCTCTGGAACAGGGATACAATTTATAGTTTTTTTCCAAAGGGAATTTTTTTACAAAACAATAATATTGCATTTAGCAAACAAAGCATTGCTTTTTAAATTTTTTTAAAAGTTAAAAAAAAGGAACATAAAAGCCTTTCTTAAAACGAGAAATTGTGAGGGTTGAATGTTTATAAAAAATCTGTTCGAGTTGCCTTCGAAACTGTTAGAAGCGTTTTCTCTGTTTATTTTGTTAATTTTCCAGGAATTTGGCAGTACGTCGTGTCACTTTAAGTTGTATAAATGAAAACAACTGTCCCCCGCAGTAAAGAAAATAAAAAAAAAAATAAAAAGGAATATTTTAATTAAAAAGTTTAATTGTGAAGGTTTCTTACATCTCAGACTGAGTTCAAATTTAAAAATTCAAAATTTATTCTCTATAAGGATTACAATGCGAGTTTACAGAAATTTGGGGTTTTTGTGTGGTTTACATGTAAAAATTGTGTTACAGAGTGTACCACTAAAACGCTTAGCATGGCTAGGCTTTCGGGCAGACTTAGTTTTTTTCTTATTTAAAATATTACAAATTATGAGGTAAGTTTTGGGATTAGGCTAAGTGATTAAAAAAAATTTGTGAGTTTAGCAATTGAATGCTTTTTTTTTGGCACATACATAGTTTCAGTTTGGGGTATCACAGGATTTATTATTTTTATTGAGATTAATATTTCTGTTTTTGGTCAAAAAGGGGGGAGTGTAAGTGTGAAAACCCCCAGGGGTATTCTGTAGTTAGTTTCGGGGTGTTTCGGGAGATAAGATGTTTTCTAATGGTATTTTGAAGGTGATGAATGTGTTTCATTCTAGGTTCTCAGGTGGGGATTCCCGATTTTAGGGCCTTTGACATACATTTAATTTTTTGTAAAGGGTTTTGTCGGGCACGGGGAAAGTCTGAGTGTTTGTGTTGGTGTTATTCTGTGGGTTCTGTCACAACTATCAAAAAGCGTTTTTAAGGGCAAGGTTTAATTGAGTTTAAGGCCCTGTAGATGAGATTGCACAGTAGTAAGGGGGATGTACTGAACTGGAGTAAGTTTTGGTCATGAAGATGGGGGGGGGGGGGTTCAGGGATGGGTTTTTGTGATTTTTTCTTATGCCGTTTTGTTGGGTTTTTATTGGGGTTTAGGTGTGTTGCTGCAGTTTATCCCCAAGCACAAATAGCATAGGTGAGGTATGGATAAAAAAGTGAGGGGGATAGTGTGAGAAGGGCATTTTGCGGCACGTAGTATCGTATCTTGGAGAGGATCCCAACCGTTTTAAATATTTTCATCACCTGGTAGAGGCTTGCGAGCTTTTTAGTATATGGCACAAAGAAGAGTAATTTTTTTGAGATGGGGGGGGGGGGATTAGTTTCTCTTGTAACTGTTTATATACTGGGTTTTCTTTCCTTGCTTGAAAGACTAATAAATATGTTGAGGCACCTCGGTTTAGTCAACATAATCATGGGTACTGACCGGTAACTCTCAGAAACATCAATGAAAATACCACTTATTTTAGTTTATTACTTTGATCAGAGTTATAATGTACATATGATACATGTGTAGGTTTTCTATACATCTTAAACTTCAACGATTTCTCTAGCTTCTAAATACTACAGAAATTAAAAAAATGGTAGAGTTTCTAGTGAAGACAAGTCTTACTGGTGCGACGTTAAATGGAGTACACAGGGTAGATAGCCATAATTTATCGTCAGTGCCTTGCATAATTTAGTGTTTATGGCAATCACTGTATAAATGTATATTAGTCTAGAAAACAGTGGTTAACTTATCCGAAACGCCTTTTAAGGTTTCCAGAAGAAGAGTTGTTCAGTGCGGAGTTAATCTGTCCATTGTTTTGTGATTTTTTTTCTTTAAAACCTCTTAGTGCAAGAACTTTACTAGATAATAATAAGTCGTGTCCATTTATGAGTTATGAATACACAAATAACTTGAACATAGGAGAGAACAGCTCACGACTTGGACCATTGACACGAGGTTCACGTCCGACCGAAATGTGAGTTTCTCTCTCCTGTGTACCGCTGAGCTGTGTGTTGTTCAGTCACAGTAATGTTTTCTTTTGTTCTTTATGAGTGATGAAATTCGTTAAAATGATATAAATTCGGTGCCAACAAAATATAATGACCAGTAATATTTTTAATATATTTAAAATCTAATTTCAACAGTGGCGATGATCCTGCCATCTCACCTGATTGGATCACCTCTAGTGAGCGCTCCTGTGCCTTTCCGATGCTTCACTGATGCTCTCTCACTTGACGATTGGCCACAGTCACTCCCATATAGGTAACTCAAGATTTTCACTCTAATATAATGTTTTCTTGCCCAGGTAGCTAGCTAAATGAACCTGTCCTCACTGGGATATATATAATAATATACTTAACATACTAAGCACATAGTGTATATATAATACAGTTGAGTTACTTGTGAAGTTGTAAACATCTAACCCAAAAATATGTATAGAATTAGGTGGTTATAATTATAACCTTAATTTTTAAAGGGGTGGATGGGTAAGCCAGCGGAAGGCCTCGGTCAGATGACCAAAAGCTCCAGCTGCAGATCATCATATGATGATCCGCAGCTCCAAGACTCTGACACAAAACAAAGCACTCTTACCTTTCGTTCATGTGATCGATTAGAATCAATCTAAGTAACATTGCTGAGGGTAGTGTGAGAATTATATGGGTGAATTTCACAGGTACAGTCCTGAATTAATATTCACTTGCATAATTGGAGAGAGCTCTGGCACTGCTATAGTTGTACCTCGGAGGCAGGTGGGACTTTTAACGACGAGGCCCCTGATCGTAAACCCTTAGCACCTGGTTTGCTGGTTGGGAGGCAGCCTATATGGGTGTGTGACATACACCGAATAAATTGTAATATACTCTTAGCATGCCACAACTGTCATCATTTTTAATTATCTTTCTTGGTCAAGAGAGGGGAAAGAGACAATGAACAGCACACGGAAGTACTTCAACGGCCGGTGTCTAGAGCTCAGCAACCTCTCGGTCACTCAGGAAGACACACCAGCTCACCGCACCTTCTTCCGTCACAGGACATACATGTCTTCCTGTCCATACATTGAATACGACAACACCATCTTCTCTGCAACTATCGTCTCTGAGGTCTGAATAATCTAGCAGCATAGTGCAATACATTTTTCTTTTAAGATTTTGCTAATTTTTTCCTTTGAAATGCAGTTTAGAGAACAAGTTTAAGTCATGAAATCGTGATAACACGATTACTAACCACGGAACGGGTGGGGTTTTAAACCTGTGGCGAGTGAGTCGTAAAAACTCCAAGTCAGTGAAATAGCCTATAAATATACTTAGTTGGATGAGTGTTATTGTAGCCAGCTGGCAGGGGTTTGACATCTCACTTGCCAGGGGTTCTAACCACACCGTTCCGGGGTAAGTTTGATCATTCATCCATCTTCTCTGTAATTGTCTTGTCGCTAAGATTTAAATCTACCGGCCAGAGTGAAGTACTTTTTTTTCATTAAGATAGTACTAAAATTTTTTACATTAAAATGTAGTTTAAGGAGCAAGATTGTTTAAATTTTATGTGCAACTCTGCGCCATCCGAGAAAGATATCCTGGATTCCATAACCCCATCTCCCTGTGCCTCAGTGCACGCGATTGGAATAGTGCAGAGTGCGGTAAAAGGTGATAATGCAGTTGAATAATAGTGCTGAAAAATTTGGAGGGAGTCAGAAAGGGGCATTTACAAATATCATATGGAAACTAATCTCCTAAGTTTATAAAATAAAACATTTATAGGCATAAAGTCATTCAGAATTACAATAAAGTAACAATCTAGACCCCAGAGTGGAAACTGACTGTGACTGTGACTAGATTCTAGATTATCATTATATCAAAGGTGTATAATGATAGCATAATAAATAAGTAAATGTGCAACAAAGCTGAAAAGCAGGCAATAGTCATGTGCAACACAAGTTTTGCACATGGACTTATTCACCTTTGCAGATTATGTCCGAAATGCTCGCATAACTAAGAGCTTTCTGCATGCACACTCAGCTGTCACCTGTCTCTCTACAACCATTGTATCGTGTTGAAATAAAACCTTTAAGTTTAATGTGTAACACATGTGCTGTTTCAGTTTCACCTGGTGTGTGATGAGCTACACCTGCAACCCTTCTACCAGATGTTGTTTAATTGTGGGCGGGATACTTGGCAGCTTCATAGGTGGCCACATTGGAGACAGGTGAAATAACATTTATTTACTTGAGGAAAATCTTGAAGTAGTATTTTTATTCTTTTTACAAGTATTGCATCGTTCATAGCCTTCTGTTAGGTCTTATATGTTCTAGGCATCTGGTGTGGCAAGTGAGCCATTGTGTTTTAATACGTCCATATGTTCTAGTAAGCCCCAGGTGTTCTAGTGGCCTCATGTTCTAATAGGCCTCAGTTGTTCTAGTTGGTCTCGTGAATGACGTATTAGAACGAGTGGTTGACAATAATGACCGCTGGAGTCACCCTATTTATAACCTAAACACTTAACCTAACTTAACCTTACTAATCGTAGTTCCTGGCATGTAGCAGGCCGGCAGGCAGCCGGCAGTAACGGCCTCGTTGATCAGGCAAGCACTAAACAAGCCTGGCCGACGGCTGGGCTGCGAGATTTGGAAAGCTGTCGAAACCTTTCAGGGGTATATCAAAGGCAGGGAAAAAGGAGAGTAAATGTACCATGAAAGTTTCTGCAGTCACTGGAAGAGGGAGTCGCCGCTGATACAGACATCTCACAGAAGCTTCTAATCTCAGTGGAACAGCGTTGCACCTGCTACATGCCAGGACCACGGTTCAAGTCCCCGTCTGTTTTTCTGTATATTCATTGGCAGTCGTTCTTTACCACTCATTTTAATTTATACTTGTGTGTGTGTATGTGTGTGTGTGTGTGTGTGTGTGTGTGTGTGTGTGTGTGTGTGTGTGTGTGTGTGTGTGTGTGTACTCACTTAGTTGAGGTTGCAGGGGTCGAGTCCGAGCTAATGGCCCCGCCTCTTCCTGGTCGCTACTAGGTCACTCTCCTTGAACCGTGAGCTTTATCATACCTCCGCATACTCCAATATGGGCCTAACGTACACGGTGTACAGGGTTCTGAACGATTCCTGTGTGTGTGTGTGTGTGTGTGTTGTGTGTGTGTGTGTGTGTGTGTGTGTGTGTGTGTGTGTGTGTGTGTGTAACACCGGGCTCGTTAAAAAAAAAAAACTTGTCAGTTTTTTTGCCCTAAACTATAGGATGTGCTTATTTCCAGGTTTGGTCGCAGACGAGCAGTGCAGATTGGTTGCATTGCCAACATCCTGTCAGTTCTTGGCACCACTCTAGTACCAGTCTACTCATTCATTCTGGTGATGAGAATCATCACAGGTTGTACTTGTATTGGAACGCTCATCCCCGCCTGGAACATGGGTAAGATAGTTATATATGAACTCTGACACACATTTAATGTATTTTTCGTATTTCTAATGAATTAGTTGTTTAGGTTATTAAGTTTTTAAAGCCAGTCAATTAAGCGAGAGTCGCCAGTCACGAATAATTATATAGTGGAATATAAGGATTAGAATAAGCTCAACTGTATTCATACCTAGAGATATTCATTCTAGTACATGAGTGATCGACACCATGTCCAGCCCTTCTAGAGCAGGGTAGGTGCCTGAGCCAGAGCTTGCAGCTCACAAGACTGTCATTCCCATTAGCCCCCCTGGGGCGGGGATGGCAGACCAGAGAGGCCTAGCTTGTGGCTAGGCCTGGGGACAGTTGGTCCCAAAGATGAGGAGGTACTTGTGCCTCCTCCCATGGGAGACTTAGGTCTCAGATACTCCCTACACAGGGAGCCAAGGCCGGGCCACCACTTGGAAAAGGCCCGGGCCGGGAGAATACCGGCGAATCTTTAATAATAAGTAATAAAGTACATGAGTATACGACTGACATGTGTGTATTTTGACCGTATCTGGAAATAATTATAAGAATAAAATACAAGTAAATAGTGACAATGAAAAGGGTAATTTTTAAGCCATTATAAAATTTAGTTGATCTCACGATGAGTGGCACTTAAAACTATACCAGGAGGGATGGTGGGAGAATGGTAGGTAGGTAGGAAGGGAAGGATGGGGGAGAGAGAGGTAGGTAAGTAGGTACGCACGTAGGGAGGGACGGGGGGAGAGGTAGGTAAAGACGGAGTGAGGGAGGCAGTTGCAATGCAACTTGGATATTCATTATTCCTTAGCTGTGAAAAAATAAGTAGAGCAACTTCCTGCCTCTCTGCAGGGCAGACCAGACCCGCTGGTTATGTTTGTTTCTCGGTGCACCTTTCCCTTCCGAGCGACAAAGTCTCATCCCAGGAGAATGGATCCTAGGGACTCCACACACACACACACACACACACACACACACACACTCGTGGAGGAGTCACGCAGTTTGAGCTCGTGTTTTGGTGGTAATTTCTGACTGTACCATAAGGAATAGTGTGGGATATAGGTGTGTGCACGCATTAGAGTGAATATAATCACTTAAGCCCCGAAAAAAGGAAATATAAGTGATCACAGAAAAGCAATTTAGTAAATAGTGACAGTTACTATGTGGGGGCTGTTGGAAGGAAGGTGAACGGTTGTGTCAGCCCTAAATAGTGTTGCCATAATAACGCAGTGGGGTATTTTGAAGAATAAGTGCGACTCAAGATCAGGGAGATAAGAGATATGTATAGATGTGTCAGTAAATACAGTGAGTGAAAAAAAAATAGATGAGCTAGAGACCACAGTGCCTACAGGAAGTTAGTGGAAAAATTACCGAGAAGCATCAAGCATTTTCATACTGGGACCCAGGAGGACGACAACATTACTCCACTGCCAGCCGCAAGTAATATTCACCTAGTTTGAGTTGCATGGGGTCAGCACCAGTCTCTAGCTGGAAATTGGGGGTCACTCTCCTCGAGCAATCAGAATTAGAATAAGCAGCATTTACTGGCATTTCATAGAATTTATTGAGGTTTAGGAGAGTTAAGCAGTTAATGATAGAAAAGCCTAGTATGAGAGGTAGCCTAGCAAAGCCTAGCATACAAAATTTGAACGAAATTTTTTAGGCACAAGATAGTACATGGGAACCAAGAGATTGGGTACATCTGCAAAACATGTGTAGTAAATACGAGGGAAATAAGGACTGCTTACATAAACACACCCCATACACACAACATACACACACACACAACACACACACAAAACACACAACACACACCCCACACACACACCACACACACACACAACACACACACACACAACACACACACACACACACACAGCCCCTTGTAAGACTGAGATGATCAGAGACTTGGGGGACAGTGTCAACAGTTCTTGCAGAGAGTGTCTCACAAGGAGGCAGATATTACACACACATACACACACACACACACACACACACACAGACACAGCACACACACCACAAAACGTAGTGTAGTGGGTCACAAGCGCCAGACTCCGAGAATCTTAGTGCTTTTAGGGGGTGTTTTAGCAGCTAGAAGCAACCAGTGTTAGTGACAACGTCAGTGAACAACCCTACAAGTGATAAACCAAAGTATTAGAAAAAAATAAATAAAGAAAGGTGAGAGAAAGCCTAAAATTTTATACAACAAAATTTCAAAGTGCCAGTTCGTTGAGGCCTAGTTGGCACTTGTTGCCACATTGTTACACATAAAACAAAGTACAAAGCGAGTGACTAAAGAAAAAAGACAAATAGAATTAAGAGAGGTTGGCTAACTACAAACTGTGATGTACCCAAAACAGCGTGAACAAGCTACCCAGAAAGGGGATATATATATATATATATATATAAATATATATATATATATATAATATATATATATATATATATAATTATATATATATATATATATATATATATACATACATATAAAATAAATATATATAAGCAGAGGTGGTGGCAGCAGTAGGCCTGAGGAAGTACGGCGCCGCCATAACAGGTTGGGTGTCATCACAAATAAGCAGTGTACTTCCCAAAAAGTGAAGTGTAAAATTATAAAAGTAGCAGTATACAAGTGATAAGTGGGGTTAAATGAGGACTAAAAAGGGCAACGAGAAAAGAATAGCTGAAGAAGTCAGCGGCGGAAGGGCGAGGTGCACGAGTCATCGTACAGCGAGCATGGGTACAGCGAGATCGTACATTAGGCATTCTGGATGGACTCCCCTCTGAGGAGTAACGTACAATCACCTGTTTGTGGTTGGCGGGAAGTTTGAGTGGTAGACCCGGGCCCTGCGATCACTGGTAGCTGGCTACACAAACCCTGCTCCAGAGGGAGTATCATACACACAACACCTAGCAGTAGTAGGAAGATAAAATTTGTAAGCAAGGAAATGGCAAGGAGGATTAAGTTCGTGGCTAATGGGCCCTACAGCCTTGACAACAGTTTCGAGAGATAATGTTTTAGGACACAAAGACAGTACAATCTGAGAAGCAAGTATTGGGTACACAGGTAGTAAAAGGTAGTACATAACTGGGTGAAAGAATGACTTGTTAACACACGCTAGTATTATAATTTAATTAGAATTACTCTGAGTTTTTAATGGTATCTTATTAGTATTACGGATACACAGGGTGAATTGTATTTCTGGGACATATAAACAACTGACGTGCTCACACAACACCACACACGCGCGCACACACTTTACACCGGGGCCAGGAGCTGGGTCTCGACCCTTGAAACCACAACTAGGTGAGTACACACAGCTGATCCTTGGAATTTTGACCGCGTCCCCCACCCCCCCACACACCTTTTCCTCCCCCACAGACCTTTCCCCTCCCCCCTCTTGCCTTCACTCCCTCCTCCCTCCTATCTTTCCCTCCCTCACGTTTCTCTTCTCATAGCCTTTTTCCTCCCCTTCCCCTATTCTTTCTTTCTCTCTTTCTCTCTCTCTCTCTCTCTCTCTCCCCTCTCTCTCTCTCTCTCTCTCTCTCTCTCTCCCTCACTCCCTCACTCCCATAACCCTATCTCTCACCCCCTCTCTCTCTATAGGCTTCTCTCCCCATCTCTCCATTTCTCTTCTCATAGCCTTTTCCCTCGCCCTCCTTTCTCCCTCCTCTCTCTCTCTCTCCCTCTCCCTCTCCCTCTCTTTCTCCCTCTCTCTACCCTTTCTCTCCCCCTCACATTTCTCTCTCTCTCCCCCTTTGGTCTTATCCCTCACCCCCATACTCTCTCCTCTCTCTCCCTCTTTCTACCCTTTCTCTCTCCTCTCTCTCCCTCTTTCTACCCTTTCTCTCTCCCCCTCGCACCCTCTCCCTCCTCTAGCCTTCTGTCTGTGGTAAAAAAAAAAAAAAAAAAAAATGGGTGGCCCTAGAGGACGGAAAACCAGAGATCGGGTAGACAAACCCAGGGAGGAAAGACTGGGAGTTAAGCTCCAAAAAAGGGAGGAAGAGTGGGAAGGAAGATAGTAGAGCTTGGTAAGAAAATGGAGGAGCAGATAGCTGAAGAGTACAGGAAGTGGGAAGTACAGGTCCTAGCAGCAGAAGCTAGGATACAGTGCTTAGAAGAGAAACTGCAAAGCCTGAAACAGATTAGAGAGACAAATGACAATTCAGATGTGACATCAGAAATTCAATGTCAGGCGCAGACAAGGGGACGGTAAGCAACAACGGAGACATGCCGTACACGAAGGCCCTATCAGACCCACGTGGGGCCGGGGATAAGACGAGGAGACACTAAGATCAAATGACAGGCCCGAAGACAATGAAGGTATGCTTATATGCAGAGATTCTAACAGCCAACTGCAGTAGAAAGGGACAGCTGGTCGGGAAAAGACAGTTCACTGAGAATAAAAGTTTCGATATGACGGGACTGAAGGCAAGAACAGTCAATGGAAGGAAATAAAATGCCTCAGAGGAAGCAGATGGAGACTCAGTGGGAGGAGGAAAGGGGGGTGAGGTCAGTTTTTGTGTACGGGCTCCAAGAAGCCAAGGGGACAACTTTGAAGAAATAAAACAGGAGGAGAAAAAAATGATTGAAGGCATCATGAAAACAATAGTGAGGGCGATATGACCCAGGTGACAAATTTTTTAGAGAATTGGGTGGTTTGCGAGTAGAAAGATACGCCTGTCAGAGTAACTTTCAAGGAAGAATCAGTTCGAACCAGGATTCTGCAAGGAGAAAGCAAGACAGAGGGACAAAGAGGGGTACCAGAGAGTATACCTCGACCACTACAGAAACACAGAAGAAAGGACTACACTGAAAAAGAGGGGACAGAGACACAAGGAGGAACGAGAGGCAATGACGAAAATGAGCAGGACCCAGACACAGAAGGGAAGGGGCAAACACACCCCACAGAATCTCCCACCAAAAGACTCCAACCGCGACATTCCTAACGCAACTGAGCAACCTATACTACAAACCCACTCACTGTTTCCCTCTGC